AAATAAATAAATCACAAAAAAATTCTTGGTTTGCAGCCACGCGACAAGAAGGCCATGTTGGGGGTTAATACAACAGAATTTTTGTTCGAAGATTTCACATGAAATTAGAGTTTAGATCCAAGAGGAGAGAGATGCTTTTGCTATTGACCACCAACATGGCCGCCGTGACGTCACGTGCAAACTTATTCTATGAAGCGCCAGACCTCGAATAATAAGCACTCATGCATCCTGTAGGTAAGAAATGTTACTTTAATTGCGCAGTCGCAAACAGGAATATAAAGTTGAACGGTACCTCTCCACAACGGCCATTTTGGGGACAGAGGAAAGTGGGGGCCGTTACAGAGCGGTGGCCGTTGTAGAGAGGTTTAAAGGGGCTGTGTCACGGCAGCCCAGTTACTGTTGTTTAATTTCGCCAATTACTCGCCCTCAATCGCTATGGAACTTAAAGTAAGCAAAGAAATTACATGTAAATGACAAAATCAGAGATCCAAGACAAACAAATATGTCTCCTGGGCATTATTTTTTTTGCAAGCAGCAGAGATCAACTTAACTTTGAAAAACAGTGTTAGGCTGAACAGTTTTCAAAAACCCTAATTTCAATCCGTTTCAATCTTCTTCAGTTTTGCCCATCCGTGGCATCTGTTGTTTCTGTTACGTTATTTTAACCTTCCTTTAAAATTTTAAGCGGTTGTTTTTTTGTTTCTCTGAATTTAACGGGCATTTTGTAATTTCCTAATTTGGCTGAATTTCGTGACACAGCTCCTTTAAACAAGAGTCAGTGTAGGACTGCCCGCCAAGAGGGTGGCAGCTGTAGAGAGGTGGCCGTTGTGGATACTCCGAGGTTAGTAGAGGTTGGACTGTCATATAGCCCCTCGAATATTACCTTACTCGCGAAAATTACAGCTCTTTTTCTCCTTCCAGATATTAATGAGTGTATGACGAACGACCATAACTGTGATTTCAATTCTTTCTGTAATAACACTGAGGGATCTTATAACTGTATATGCAGTCCTGGATACACTGGACTTGGAACAACATGTACCGGTAAATCGAGGAACAATACATAGTATCACCCAAGGTAAGGGAATCCAAGACAGTCTTGGATTCTGGATTCCACACTGTGGATTCAAAATTCCATATACTGGTTTCCGGATTCTCTGATTCAAATAGCCTCCGTAACAGGCAGGATTGTTATTTAGCGCGAACAAAGTACTCACTTCTCGAGGCAAAGACGCGAGAATGGCGGATTCGCGGTCAAACCTCTCGCATGCATAAAAGCAATTCCGCTAGCTATAAGCAGGCTATGATTCTTATCGTTAGTAGAATTCCAGATTCCTTAAGCCGAATTCCGGCTTGCAAAGGCTAGGATTCCGGATTCTACTAGCAAAAAAATTTCCGCATTCCGGAAACCGGATTCCTCTCATGGCGTCGAGAAAGAAGCACCTCATGCATAGAGTGTGCTTCTCTAGCGACATTCTCTGTCCATATTACCTCTGTACCTTACGCAGCTTTCTCATAAAAACCGGTCTGTAAAGACAAGACCTTTTTTCTCTCCTTTTAGATATTATCACCAACGTCCATAACTGTGATGCCGCTGCTTTCTGTAATAACACTGAGGAATCCTTTGATTGCACATGCAGCCCTGGATACGCTGGAAATGGAACATCATGCACCGGTAAATCATCATGTCCAATATGCCTTAAAACTATATATGAGGTCAGAGACAGAAGTACACTCCCATACATGAAGTCATTCTTTCTCCGTATAATTATCTTACTGATAGCCTGTTCCAGGCGTTTACATAGTGGGCAGCAAGTTACATCGTACGCGACGAGCGTAACAATGTAGCAGCGCTCCTAAAGTTTAATCGGCCGTTTGTCGGTGGACTTTTGGTGGACAGATGGCCGACAGATTTTTTTATGGGGAGCTGTTCTTCAATTTTTCAGATTAAACAATATCCCATCATCATTCTAGATATTAATATCATCACAGTATCAGAACTATTTATAGATGCTATGATTGCAAAACCGGAATATCTGCCTTAGGATCGTCTAGGAGAATTCGAGGAGGAATGCATAAACGCCGATGACGTCATAGCCTTTTGTCTTCATCCGTTGAGTAAAATGCGGGGTGAATCCCATTAACCTTTAAGAAGGAAAACTTCAACGTAGACAAAAGGTCCCTTTTACACTGGTTTACCAGTTGGCCTAGCTAACGATATTGTAGATACACGGCTTATTACTGTACTTACTACTGTTATATCACACAGACAGAGAAGAGTGTAAAATTAGAAGCCATAACTGCGACAGTGATGAGAGTGCAACCTGTACAAATACTATTGGGTCATATTTGTGCTCGTGCAAAGAGGGTTATATAGGCGATGGAAAGTCATGCATTTTCCTCCCAGGTAATTACCTTGTTGTTAATGAACGTATGGATATCAATGCAACCATAGTTTATATACTCTTAAAGATCAAAGAAATCGTGTCAAAATTTTAAAACAAAATAACAAAGAGAGAAAACAAACTAAATAAATAATTAAATACTTAAATGGTAAAGAGTCAAATAGAAAGAATCAAAGAAGCGAGGCTTTGCCTATGTTGACACTCAGTACCGGATAGCTTTCCGCGTACCGACACAAAAAGTTGTCCGATAATAGTTCGAACACCTCTCCGATATGTGGCTCTCCACTTTAGAGATTGGCGCGGGCAGCTTCGTCCCGTTACAGAAATCGCGCCGAAATTACCGTTCTTATATGTCAACAGAAGTCTTATTGGTATGGTTTCCGAGCCGGCGCAAAGGCACCCGGTGTATCGTGAATATAGCTTTAATCAAGGAGGCCCCCCTTGGTCCATTTCCCTTGAGTGGTATCCCTTGAATAAAAAGTTGTATTCAAGAAAATAAATCACTAGGTATCACGTACATGTCTGTCTCTTTGAGTCCCAGGCTTTATGTTAAATAAAGGTTCTTGCATTATATTGTTACCTAGCTGAATGTGAAAACTACAAGTCATTAAGTTTCCAATCTTTCTCCCACTTTTACTTACATTGTTTTTAGCCTATTGAATTATTGATTGGAAGAGCGCCAATATAGGACAGGGAATACTACGTAGAATACTTCTAGATATCAGATGAAAAACGCTTGAACATTAATAATTCAGCTGGTTAAACCGATCCATTCTGCATACAAGAAAGCGAACTCGTTAATTATATATCTGTTATTGTTCAAGGTAAACGTCAATGATTATAAGCTTTCTCAAAACATAACAGGATGCATCACGCTAAGTAGATTAAACTGTGTCGAACGAATGCGACAAATGAATAAAGTTTTGAAAGTGTTGAAATCAGGTAAGTGAATCGGAACTATACAACAGTGATCGCTTCTTTTAGCTTAAGGGCGTACTTGATCAAAGCCAAGTTGATTACCAAATGCTGACCAAAAAAGACAATGGAAAAAAATACTACTTTTATTTAAATTACGTATGTGCAATACCCCTCTTTTCAGACATGTACATTGCATGACAAATCACCTTTGAAGAAACAAGACGTTGAATCGTGATCAAGTTTCATTTCACCACTTCGGTGCCATACAGGTTTTTTCTCAGTGTAGAGAAAACATTTACTTGATTGTATAATTTAGAACAAAACTTATCCTTAACGTAAGTAACTAGAAACATCTCAGATGAATCGTCGGTATCAAACAGATTTAATTTCAGACTTCAAATTTACAGCTTTTTTGCCATATTAAATAATTCAGAGCCTATCCATACCTAAGCAATCCCAAATCCATCATTCTAGTGAACAAACTGATCTTTTTAGGTTTGCATAAACAAAAACTGAAAATTCTGAATTGTCAGGGAATTTTTTGGTGATGTTTGTTTGTTTTTTACATATGATTTTTAATAATTAAGTTTATTTTGACTGTTTTAAAGTGTTTTGATCAACAAAGACGTTGCTAACAGTAGTAGAACAATACTGGCTACAAATGGTGAAGAAAAAGCAAAAACTTATATTTTAGATAACAGTGAGTTTCTGGTTTATTCACTCGCTTATCATAAGTAATCACATTTGCTACGAAGTGCACTCAAGATACCATATAACAAGCGGAAGGAGACACTACTGTCGCCTTCAAATATTAGCCTCGCTGTTTTCCTCCTTATTTTGACAAAATTTGATTATACACTTTTGTTGTGGCTACGAGATATGACGTCATGAGCGCCAGGGACTCAAGCCAGGGTTCT